CAGCACGACATCCCACCCCCCCTCATCAGCCCGACAGGGCGAGAAAACTTTTTCCCCTTTGGGCGGCGCTTGCGCGGGTTCGGGAGAGTTCGGATGGGTGTGCGGGTTCGTTGTCGGTGCGTGGTTCATTTCACTCTTTCTTCGTTCTTTTCTCTCAACAAGGGCTCCTCACAGGGACGGAGACGGCACGGACAGATGGACGGCCGCCGCATCTGAATCTGAACAGAGAAGGGGGGGGCGTTGGAACGGCAAGTGTGTGGCTTGCATGGACGCGAACATGACGGCACTTTGACACGATGCCTCACGGCAGGCAGGGTGCGTGGGTCGAGCTGCTGCCGATGCCTTGCCGAGGACGCGCCTAGCAGTACTATTGGAGTTTCTGGCGAAAGCCGAGCTTGTCGTCAAGAGCGCGGTTCCCCGGGAGAGAGGGAGTTTGACTATCTCGTCTCGACGCGACGCGCGATGACCGTTGACCAACGTCGTGGGCAACGACAGCGCGGACGGTGATTTACCATGCAGTGGTGGTACAACCACCACCCACGGCGCAGATCCAGTGCTCGTAGCGCGAATCACGACGCGCGGAACCGATGATTGTTTCTCCGTACCAATGGCTCGAATACCGGTCGCTTGGCCTTCTGAACATGACCTAGGGAATTTTTCTTCCATCGTCATGACACCAATCTGTTTTACATTGAGTTTCATTGAGGGCGGTGCGCAAGCATCACGCTCACGAGTCTGTTCGGGCGAGTCATGGCGACCAACGTAGGCTATCGAAGAGGAGTTCCTGGGCCCAGAGAGCTTGAGGCTTGGATGCTCGTCCCACCCGGCTAGCTAGCTCGGTTCTCCTCTGTGGGGTAGACAGACATGCTTTGTTGGGAACGAGGATGATTTTGTCGATGACTGTACATGGAGGCTTAGGATGAACTATTGATTGTCATTCCGACTCACACACGAGAACAAGCACCACCACTTGACTGTTACGATCGGTCGAGTGCTCTTGGCATGTTCGGCTGTCCAGTCCATGGGCACCTAGAAATCATATGCCATCTGTCGTCGTATGGAACATACTGTAGGGCGATCACGGGCAAAGCACAGATTGCGTGGTCCTTAGTGAGCCCTTGACGCGTTGCACAGAGGGGGTTGGTGGCATTGACATGTGAAGGCAAGGGGAATCGCCCGCTGCTGCATGGCGCAAACAGAGTTAAGGAGGGCGCGCACACCTTCCTCGCGCGAATAGGCTCGGCCGTCTGTCCATCTTGCGACATGTGGTGCAGTTGTCCGTGCTGTCTTTCTCGCCCTAGGTAAATCATGAACCAGAAACGAGAAAGAAAATTACGCGACGTTGACGCAAGGCTGCATTGGCCTGTGACTTCAATGCCGAGCACATCGCTCACAGGCAACGGGTCTGAAGCTCACCATTTTGGTTTGGTCAGCAAGAAGGTCACCGTCGTGTCCCTGCCAGGACTCGACGCGCACTTCGGAGGCGCAAAGTCGTCCAAGGTCTAGACCATTTGGCGGCCGTGGAGTATGACTCCAGGTCTCCGGGAGCTGGTAACTGGATACGAGGCTCATGCAACCAGCGTCTTGTTGGTGGGCAAGATAGCTTCCGTAGTGGTGAGTGGCTGGCAGTATGCGTCTGAAGGCGCACAACACTGGACGAGCCTCAACCGACAGCCGGGTCCCAAGGGTGTCGTGGAGGGTTGCTAGATGCTTCATTGTGTCCAATGGGGGGTGCCCATAGATGCCTTGGCACCAATTGCCTGTATCTCAGCTGTTGATGGACAGGATCCGGCCGAAGACGAGACATGGCGGTTTGGCGTCCGTAATGGGCATGGCCCAGGGACTACGACAGCACCCCGCAATTGACCAGAATTGGCTTCAACGTGGAGAGGGCCTAGAGGCACGTCATGTGTGGGATACAATGCGGGGGCCGGGTGCGCAAAGGCAGAACGGCAGTAGCTGGCGAGGTCAAGGCGCCACGACGCGCTTCTGGATTTGCGTCGGTTTTTCGCACAACGCACGCCTGGCTCAGGTGCCGTCGGGCTGACGCCCTGGCAAGGAACTACTGCGGCGACTGTGTCGTATCACTGCGCATGGCTTGATTCGCCTGGTTCCGACAAGGCCGTGGATGCGGCGAGACGATGGGCTACGGCTCGCGTCTGTCCTGCCCTGCCACCGGGGCACTGATGCTGAGTTTTGATGATACACACCATCAAGCGTTCAGCCCACAGGAGCCAATCTTATTTTGGACAAGATATCCAGATCCGAAGCCTCGTAGTGGGTGTGGCCAGTAAAGGTAAGCTTTGGTCAATCCCAGCTGGCGACGACTCATCAAGGCCTGACCAGGTCGAATCATGCCACCATGTCAGGAGAAATATTCGGTTGATTGAGGGTGTGCATGGTGGTCGTTTCCAGTCGCATGCATCATCGGTCCCCCCCGATGCGCAACGACAGGGTGCTTCGTGCATGTCGCGGCCATCATGAAGGGGAGTCATACAGCGTGGAGGAAACAAGAGTGAAGTGGGAGGCGCAGAAGGGTTGGGTTTGTTGTCGGGTTGAAACTGTGGCAGGCGCAGGGCAGATCGGTTGGCTGGCGAAGCCCATCGATGTGCGCCTTCCGCCTTCCAAAGGGGACAAATGGGTGTGGTTGCCCCCATCGCGTCTGGTCGCCTGCATGTGTTTCCCCTCCCCCCAAAGAAAGAGCCGCTTTTTCTGCCTGCTCCATGGCAGCCACGACTTCTGGTGGACTGCATCCCATCCCACCTTTCCGCGGGATGGAGGGGCAAGTCGTGGCAGTCGTGTTGGCGAATGGCTTTCTCACCGACTTTCCTCGATATGCAATGCTGCCATGCTGCCATGTTGCCATGCTGCCATGCTGACCCTGGTTCCGAGCAACAAGATTCTCGGCGAGTTGACGTTTGTTGGGATCTTGTACATGTCGTTCCAGATCCGTGAAGTAAGGTACCTACTCTTGTGGCCAAGAAGCGCCCCGCCAGCCAGAAGCGTCCTGGGGGGCAGCAGCTACTTGCCCCAAACAGTCCACCGTTGACCGTAACGCGGGGTGCTCCCCGTTCTTGGCGCCAGATGCTGGTCTATTCCCGTTTTCTACCACTGACTTGTTCTCGATTCATCAGATGGATTCGCATGCGATCTTTGAGTTTCTCCTCCGCACTCTTTCCCCGGACCGGCCACGCAGACTTGGCCTAGGTGCCCATCAGGCGCATGAGTTCGCCGTCTGCGACAACACACAACCCAAGAGCCGAGCTAAAGCAGCAGATCATCTGTCAGCTAGACTGCTCCGGAATATCATGCCATGTTCGCATCGCTACGAAAGCTCCCGTCGTTCTTCACAGCTGCCCTGCCAATCAAGCGAGCCTGCAGGTAGAGGCAGTGATGGCGACAGCCCAGAAGAATCTCATCTGGACGCAGTACAACAGCACTCTGGCAGTTCATCTGCGGTGTGCTGATACTGACTTTATGCCATTCCCTCGCGATGTCGCCGTCAGGTCGTCATTTCTGATATCGAGATCCTTCGCCTTCTGATGTCATGCACGATACTCGCTGCTGCTCATTGGCGCGTCTATCCTTCTTGGAGCAACAAGGGTGTTGGTTGGCACTCCTTGTGCCGACACGCGCGCCCATCCGGCCAATTCTAGCGGGAACACCAGCCATCTGGCCTTGTCGACCAGGCACATCGCACACCTTTGCCTGCGGACGAACGGTCGCTTGTTTGGCTTCGA